AATTAATTTAAAATAAAGGGCACATTGCCTACAATATATTTTTTTGTGTCTACAGCGGATTTTCAGTTACTTAAAGTCGGCATGAAATCAAAATTGACTTTATTTACTTTACTAGCGCACATTGCTAGTCTTGATGTGACCAATTAACCCATGCAAGTTAATCCGCTGAAAAAAAATTGTTTGTCTTGGTAATCAAAATCTGAACATTTGCTTCTGCTCTGGAATGGCAGTCCTTCTCCGATTATGTTAGTTTGACGGCTTGGGCAGAATATTCTTAAACACACCCCTCCAACCGTTAGATTGCTATGAGTGAGAGACAGAGAGGAGGAGCGTCAAAATAAAACCATGCCCTCTATTCAATGTTCCGTTTCAGATGGAAATACGTCACTACACTGAAATAAAGTCGGCAGCAACTTCCGGTTCACGCAGACTTTCATTAAAAAATTTAATTTTCTTGAGGTTAACAATCTGCATGTCACCGAATCAGTGGCATCACGTGACCAGTGAATTCATCTGAACTGAAGCGTCAAGTAGTGTTCAAAACAGAAAATCATCGTAGTAAACTTCCGGTGTCATGAGAAATCGAGTCCCCCCTCGAAATCGGGTACGCTTAGGACCAAGGCGGTAGCTGTTTTAAATGCCTGATCAAGAGTCAACACTTATGTTACTATTTCGTTGTGAATATATGTATGGTAAGTGCAAATGCGTGGTGTATAAGCTAACCTAGCAGGCTAATCGGGTAGCTGTATGCTATGCTAGTACGTGAGCTAACCAAAAAAAAAAGAGAAATGTCACCCATTACCCATTAAAAGTGTGTTGAGCCACTGGGATCACTCGGGGTCTTAAGCGGACCCGATTTCGAGGGGGGACTCGATTTCTCATGACACCGGATGTCCACGGTCTATCATGGTAAAAAAAAATTAAAACATATTTTAATAAAATAATTGCATAATAGCCCTTTAAAAAAATTTATGATTCTAGACATGTAAAAGAAAACTGACATAAAATTGCTAAAACTTTAACAGTAAAACAGGAAATAAAACATTCAGAATATTAATAACTGTCATAGTATATTAATGCTACTAAAATGACACTGGCACATGCTTACCAAAATATAATACTTAAATAAAGACAATTTCTAACATTTAAAGTATATTTGGTTTATTTTTATCCAAAGCGACTTACAAATGAGGACAATGGAAGCAATCAAAATCAACAAAAGAACAATGATCTGCAAGTGCTATAACAAGTCTCAGTTAAATGTGATGTGATAAAACAAATTTACTCTCACAGCGTAGGATACATTGTCTTCTCGACATGATGTTAACCACACAGAAATGTTACTGTTTGTGGGCGGGCAAGTTGGCGACGTAGAACGTGGGAAGACATTATGCAAATGGATTACTTCGTGACGTAGAGCCGTAACAGAATAAGATTCGAATTCCTGACGACTCGTTTAGGTGAATGCGAGCCGAATTTTATTAAATTTTTTTGATAGACAATAACTTTATTTATTGTGCACTGTCGGCTTCACAACTTTGCATATGCACATGGTCACATACAGTTACATGACACACTGCATGAAAGGTAATATTTGAAAAGGCATAATAGGGGCACTTTAATGCAGTACAAGTAGCACGTTTAAAAAAATTTTTTTTTATTATATAATAAATAAAAATAAAACAAATAAAATAGAGCAAGCTAGTGTTAGTGTTAGAGGCCTTTTTTGCTTTTGTTAATTGTATAATAAATAAAAAGAACAGAGTGCAAAAGTGACTTTTCAGCAATATCTACAATAAAAAAGTGCAGTAAACCGTAAAACTATTGTGCTATAGACCAGTGTGTTTATGATTTGGGTGGTAAATTAAAAATATGACAAAAAAATAAATAAATGTATGAATAACAATAGAATTTCAGTATTTTGTTAGTGATGTTAAAAGTGGTTTCAAAAGAAGCCTGCTGAATTAAGTGTTTCCCTCTTCTTAATATTCACAAAGCAGTTGGTGCAAAATTTTAGCAAAAAAGCTGAATGCTAAAAGTAGATTATTTGTGCCACAAATTTAAAGCAGAATAATTGTCCTTTTAAGATGAAGATAAAAAGCACCTTACTTCAAACACTTTCAACCTCCACTAGATCTGTCGAAATATGAAATCGCTGAAGGCAAACCTCCACCACAAGCCCTTAACTAACCCACAACCATTAAATAAAGGCACTTATTATAATAACTATGATAATCTTATAATGTTCCTAATTTGACACTTTAACTTCCAGCTTAAAGATGGGTGCCATCTGCAATCGTGTGCAGTTGCTGACACTCAAGAAAGCGTGCAAGCGCTTTCCTATGCGCGCTGTTTTATTCGGTTTCACTTTCACTTTCGGCGAGAGATTGGAAAGGGGGGGCATAGCAACCCGTTTGTGGGGTCAGGGTCCGCAAATGCCTCCCATTGGTGCTGGCCCTGTGTCGGGATCCTCTCCGATCACGAGGGCTTCCTTCATCTGTACAAAAACAAAAAAAATGCTCATTTTCAGCAACAGAAACTAATGAAATCACAAATCACACACAATTAAATGCTAATTTTGCCAATAAAGATGTTTTCCTCTCACTATGCCATCTACATGTGATACTTGCCCTTTCTAGAGTGTCTGTAGCGATAGTAAATCACACCAGCAGTAGCAGCAGCCACCAGCAGAACACCAACAGCAACACATATTCCTGCTACAGCAGCTGAAGACAGACCTGAATCTGGAACAAAAGAGACAGTCATTAGTGTGAGCGAATCTATCAGACTGATCTATAACAAACAGTATGAGATATCAGCAGGTCTGAGAGAGCACATGTGAATCTGTTTCAGTTTAAAGTAGAACATGTTTCATACAGTGACATCAAAAGCACCAATGCTTTGGTACCGAGACATCAAGGTACTAAAATAAAGATGTAACATTTTTCTTTACGTTCTCCTGTAAGAGTTGTTTCCCTTCCGTATATGGCCAAAAATGATACTCGCCAGTCACAGAAATACTGAAGCTCATAATGCTGGTGATACTGTAGCGGTTTCTGCTGGATTTGATCTGTAGTTTATAATCTCCAGAGTCTGTGGTTCTGGTGTTTGTGATGGTCAGAGATCCAGTCTGATGATCCAGCTTCAGTCTGTCTCTGAATCTCTCATCACACTGTTCATCTGTACAGATCTTACTCTCATCTCCAGTGATGAGAGTGTCATTAAAATACCACATCACATCATTTGGGTTTCTTTCTTCAGGAGTGTCTAAAGTGACAGATTCTCCCTCCTTCACTGACTCTCTCTTCATTTCAGCAGTGCCATCTGAAACACAAACCAACAACAGCTGGAGGATCTTTCTGAGGAAGAAACTCAAACAGGAGCAAACTATGAAAAATTATTTAGCATATTAATTTCCTGGATCTTAAGAAAACCAGTGGAAACAACATTAACTGCAAAAGTGCAAAATATAAAAGAATTGTGTCCATCTTTATTCTTGCAGACATAGAAATTTCAATTCTACTGGATTAAAAATGTATTACTGACTCATACATGTATTACACGTATAATGTAACGTTTGTATTACTACACAAGAATACATTACAGTGTATTACTACAGGGGAATAGAAATTACTGCATTATAATTTCACAAGGCACTTTTTGAATAATCTTGTGATCATAATATGAGACAATATGACATTATTTTAGGTTTCTTTACTGTCAGTCCATAAAGCAACATTTATCAACATTCTGTGCTTATAAACACAATTTATTTACTTGTAGTACATCAAATCTTCTGCATTTTGCAAGTCAGTAAACTAAAGTAAGTACTGGAGTGATGAAAAACTGAAAAGAAAAAAAAACAATCTAAAACTAATGGCTCACCAGTGGACACAAATTAGTTCAAAATCATTGCACTGGTACTCTAAATGTTCATATTATACTAAACATATTCATTATATGATTTGAACACAACTTTTTAAACATCCGTTAATGACTCACCATAAACATCAACATCGAAAACCTTTGTAATGTGGCTGCTGCTGCTGCTGCTGCTGAAGATCTTTAGTCGATAAACTCCATGATCTGAAGTGTTGATGTTTGTGATCGTGAGATCACCAGATTGATTACCCAGCTCCAGTCTGTCTCTGAATCTCTCATTATCTTCATGACACTGAACATCTTTGCAGATATGACCGAGATTGTGTTGAGCGACGAGAGTGTCAATAAAATACCATTTAACTCTGTATTGTTGGTTTATTGTAATATTAGTGTGAAGAGTGACTGAATCTCCCTTCATCACAAACACTGACACTCTGTCTGTGTCCACATCAGATGCACCTGGAGAAGAAATAAACAGCTAACTATAATTATATTTTTAAATAGGACAAAGAAAAAGAAAAACAATAAGTACAATTTCACAGACCCCTGATGAATACTATCCCTTCAAAGGGAAGGAAAAATAACTTACTGTAATTTTCCTGCAAACTACGACTTGAATAATACCATTTCATGTTTTTATTCAAAATATTTATTTCACATATATCAATTCAGTTTTGCATGTATTTGTAGAAGCCGCTCTGTCAGTAGTAGTAGGCTACTATTTTAGAGATATTTTTTTCAGTATTATATTTGACAAATTCCATTCAGCACAGGCTGGTCTGAGCCAACAGGTGTGCTGACATTTAATTGTACCCGTCAGATTGTCCTACCAAGGTTTACACTTCAATATTGCGTCCTTTTGATAAAATACTGAACAACAATATTGAATGTATCTGCATTACTGTAAGGGTAGGTTTAGGGTTGTGGTAGGCACTCGCCAGTCACAGAAATACTGAAGCTCATAATGCTGGTGATACTGTAGCGGTTTCTGCTGGATTTGATCTGTAGTTTATAATCTCCAGAGTCTGTGGTTCTGGTGTTTGTGATGGTCAGAGATCCAGTCTTATGATCCAGCTTCAGTCTGTCTCTGAATCTCTCATCACACTGTTCATCTGTACAGATCTTACTCTCATCTCCAGTGATGAGAGTGTCATTAAAATACCACATCACATCATTTGGGTTTCTTTCTTCAGGAGTGTCTAAAGTGACAGATTCTCCCTCCTTCACTGACTCTCTCTTCATTTCAGCAGTGCCATCTGAAACACAAACCAACAACAGCTGGAGGATCTTTCTGAGGAAGAAACTCAAACAGGAGCAAACTATGAAAAATTGCACAGGCTGGTCTGAGCCAACAGGTGTGCTGACATTTAATTGTACCCGTCAGATTGTCCTACCAAGGTTTACACTTCAATATTGCGTCCTTTTGATAAAATACTGAACAACAATATTGAATGTATCTGCATTACTGTAAGGGTAGGTTTAGGGTTGTGGTAGGCGTAGACGTTAATAAACCATAATTTTACAGGTAGCATTTTTCGTTGTCGAATTGTACTAACTTACCCACAGTTTTAACTGGGAGGTAGCACAAATCGACAGAACACCGGTTAAATACGTCTAAAATTATTTAGTCACTGTTTTTTTAATCGTTGACAGGAAGGTGAATTGTTAGAAGTGTCTTACCGTGCACGAAGAATGCATACACTGCCAACAAACTAACGATAAACTTATTTTTCAGACTGTAAGTCGCCATGGATGGTTAATGGCCGCTTTTGAAACACTGTTCATGAAGCTTCGAAACCTTTGTAAATCAATTGTTTCGAACCAGTTTATCGGAGCGCGTATCAAGCTTGTTTGAGATTGTGAGCAAATTCTGCGCAGAACCGATCACCGCGAGATGCATGCCGGTTAGAAAAGTGTCCGAGTTACGTCCGACTTGCTCTATTGTCACGCTGACGCGTGCCAGAACAACTCTCGCGACGGCGAGGCGGCTGTGTCGGATTGCGCAATCGAGCGCAGTTGCTCTCCGCGCCGACTGCGCTGATCAAAAGCATGATGAGAAACGACTGACTGACGACACAGTTTAAAGGGTCATGAAACCCCGTTTCAGCACTTGTTAGTTCTTGCCACGGTTTTAAAAAAATGCTTTAAAAAAGTGGGCGTGGTGCGGAGCGGAGGGGGAAGAGGGGAGACAGGTATGGAGATATAATTGTTGCTTAATTCCAAATAAATAGATTATGATCCACAAATGAATGTTAAAGAGATGAACAAACATTAAACATATTGACAAATAAATAGAATGAGATCCACACATAAATCTTAAAGTTTCACAAACTTTAACATTAAATTCACAAATAAATAAAATGAGATTTGCAAATAAAAAAACATATTCACAAACATATATTTATGTCACAACCACAACTTTGCCTGGCATTTATTTGTGAATCACGTCCTGTGCATTTGTAGATAGCTGCACGCATTTGTGAATCGCGTCCTGTGCATTTATAAATAGCTGCACGCACTTGTGAATCGCGTCCTGTGCATTTATAAATAGCTGCACGCACTTGTGAATCGCGTCCTGTGCATTTATAAATAGCTGCACGCACTTGTGAATCGCGTCCTGTGCATTTATAAATAGCTGCACGCACTTGTGAATCGCGTCCTGTGCATTTATAAATAGCTGCACGCACTTGTGAATCGCGTCCTGTGCATTTATAAATAGCTGCACGCACTTGTGAATCGCGTCCTGTGCATTTATAAATAGCTGCACGCACTTGTGAATCGCGTCCTGTGCATTTATAAATAGCTGCACGCACTTGTGAATCGCGTCCTGTGCATTTATAAATAGCTGCACGCACTTGTGAATCGCGTCCTGTGCATTTATAAATAGCTGCACGCACTTGTGAATCGCGTCCTGTGCATTTATAAATAGCTGCACGCACTTGTGAATCGCGTCCTGTGCATTTGCGAATTGTGAAACATTTCTTGCATCAAGAAGTGCTGGCAATCCACAAATACGTGGACTCCACCCACCGTCTACTCAAGCCAATCAGATAACAGCCACATTTCGCTGACCAATCGTAGCACGATCTCGCTATTACCAATCACATTTTGCTTTGCAATCAGGGCTGTCTCCTCCTGAGATAACTTCATTCATCTGCATTGGCTCAAATAGGTAATATAATGATGCTTTTCCACTGCATGGTACGGCACGGTACGGCTCGGTACGGTTCACTTTTGGGAGGTTTTCCACTGGGTACAGTACCTGGTACCTGGCACTTTTTTTAGTACCACCTCGGTTGAGGTTCCAAGTGAACCGTACCGTTACCAAAACGTGACGTGTAAACTCTGCTGATCACGGATTGGCCGGAGAGAATCGTCACTACCTGTATCACTGAACTTGCGACAGAGACACACCAGAACCGCTCGATTTAAATCAGCACAGCCAGCGAAGGATCGAACACAACTGTTTTGAACGAGCGCACCTTTTTTTAACAACCAAAAAGTGGCTGTTTCGTTGTCTGTTGAGGAAGTTGGGGGAAGTCGTGGCCTAATGGTTAGAGAGTCGGACTCATAACCCAAAGGTTGTGGGTTCGAGTCTCGTACCGGCAGGGATTGTAGGTGGGGGGAGTGAATGTACAGCACTCTCTCCCACCTGCAATACCACGACTGAGGTGCCCTTGAGCAAGGCACCGAACCCCAACTGCTCCCCGGGCGCCGCAGCATAAATGGCTGCCCACTGCTCCGGGTGTGTGTTCACGGTTTGTGTGTGTTCACTGCTGTGTGTGTGCACTTTGGATGGGTAAAAATGCAGAGCACTAATTCCGAGTATGGGTCACCATACTTGGCCACACGTCACTTCACACATTTCACAAGTACAGACGTTCCTCTCGTTGATAGCAGAGGAGTGGATCCAGCGAGAGCTTGATGGGGCGACGCGGAATGAAAAAGTTTTTCAGGAGTCGTGGCAATAGAGGCGGCGCAACTATAACAACATGTGAATAATCCCGCCCACTCTAAAGCATTACTGAACTGCAATGGAAACGCAAACCGAGCCGAGCCGAGTCGTACCACGCAGTGGAAAAGCGCCATAAGGGCCATAAAATGGGTACAGTAAAAGATGTTTAAAATTGGATTTCGTTAGACCATCAGACTGTGTATCATGCCAAGCCACAGTATTATATTTTACGTGGCTATGGGAACGGTGAACGTGATTTCACCAAGTACAACATGTTCCTGGATCAACATCCTTGTTGATCCTGGAACAACATTCCAATTAACCAATCAGAATTGAGGGATAACTTTTCAGGAAATATCTGTTTTAGGCTTACGATCGGGATTAGGTGCTTCTACACCCTTGTTAATCATCTATCATTTCACACTGCTTTTAGGAATAAATTATGGGTAAGGTTAGGTTTAGGGGTAGGGATTGGGTTTAGTCTATATTTTTGGACAGTAATGTTGATCATGTCAATAAACATGTCTTACTTGGCAAAATCACGGCGACCTATGGGAACAACGCTATACTAGATACAAATGCGTTATGGAAGCTCATGTTATTCAATATGGAAATAAAAGTGTCAATAAGTAACTGACTAATAAATAACTGAACTCAACCTTATAATAAACATTTGTTTGTGTAATAGGTTAAATTGCCATCACACAACCGATGTATATGAGCTGCTATGTGGATCTAATGATGTATGACGTTTTTGATATTCTGTGGTGGTCAGTTCACAGCAGTGATAGAAATTAATCTACAAATAAGATTTGAAGGGTTGAAGGCTGTAGGGGACCAAACAACTGTTTCTTGAAGTGCCCTTCTGCGTCATCATCCCGTGCCCACACAGAATCTGCGCAAAGGATCATGGGAGCCCGAAGTGTCCATCATCTGTACCATTCAAAATCCTTCATTCCAAAGGGCCCTTTGAAGTGGCCAGTTTTGAGCACTTCGGTTTGGAACAACCCTTCAATATGGCAGCCATGATTGTTTTCACTCCGAATTGCCCTTCGGAGGGCGATATATCCCGTTTGGAACGCACCGTCATTCAGAAATGAAACACCTTCATGTTGCTCAGAGACGCAAAACAGTGCTGTGACTTTGTTTGGAGTTATTTTTGTTGTCGAAATAGAGCAAAAACAGGCAATATGGTGTCTAAAACTTAAGTCTCTTAATTAACTTTGTTTATTGAACTGTATATTAATAGCCTATCGCATAATTTTAATATCACATTTGAAATCATGTTGATTTTTGGAGAAAAGAAACAACATTGATATATAAATGATATTTATATAAACTATATTAAATGATATAAATGTATACATTTTCTGCTCCCATATCTTGAATTTTGTGATCATTCGAAATGTATTTTAATAAACTGAATCATACAGTGAAAGAAAGCACTGTAAATGCGCACACGCACTAGTCTAACCTACTACACTTCATCACGCCCTGCATTTTCAAAGGCACGTAAAATATAATACTGTGGCTTGGCATGATACACAGTCTAATGGTCTAACGAAATCCAATTTTAAACATCTTTTACTGTACCCATTTTATGGCCCTTATATTACCTATTTGAGCCAATGCAGATGAATGAAGTTATCTCAGGACGAGACCGCCCTGATTGTAAAGCAAATCGTGATTGGCTATAGCGAGATCGTGCTACGATTGGTCAGCGAAATGTGGTTGTTATCTGATTGGCTTGAGTAGACGGAGGGGATTGCAAGCACTTCTTGATGCAAGAAATGTTTCACAATTCGCAAATGCACAGGACGCGATTC